ACATGTTGTGTTCTATGATTTAAAATAATTGTTTTATTATTGGTAGAATTTGATAACATTTCCGGCTTTTAAATTTAAGTACACAACTTTTATTATGTAATTCAAATTTATGTTTCTTTCTCTTCCATGCTTTCAGATGCTGTTCTATTCTGCCACAAAGAGACACCAGAATCCAAAATACCTGAGCAGTGTGCAAGTTAGATATGTAAAGTGTGCCCCACAGAGAGCAGAAGGAGTTGCTAGGCCAAAAGAATAAATCTTTAAAACAAAATAAATTTTTCATTTTAAAAACCTTTTTTTTTGTTAATTTCTATAGTTAATTTAGTGCCAGTAAAAAAAGGGCAGTGAAATTTAGAAATACATTATTAGGTGTTACCGGTATGCAACTTTTTGTTAGGTTTACTCAATTGTATCGGGTGTATAGATAATGATTGAATGAGTAAACAGCTTGGTGATGGTATGGTTTGTTCCAAAAGCCTTCAAGATAAATGTAAAAAAAAAGCACATACGGTATACCCTCAAAAAGTCAAATTTCAGTTCAACAAGATATCAATAAAAAATTAATAAAAAAAGACAAAAAAAAAAAAGAACTAAATATCGGATAACAAAAACTTAAAATGAAATCAGGTTTTTTTTTTTAAATGGTCCTGCTATGTATTCACATAAAACAAAGGAGGCATTTTGTGTAACTGTGTCAAATTTGCTGAATTTACATGATTTTGTATAAGTTGGAAAACTTGATCAACCAGAATCAAACCAGTGTGCTGTAGTGAGTTTTTACATATTTTGTTTTGAGAAATTGATGTGCTAGAAGAGAAAGCTTTGTTAATATTGAGATATTTGGTTTCAAATAAAATCTTGATATTGTAACCGTCTCTCCTCTTTGGTTTTGATTGTTATTGTCTACTATTCTCTTTTGGAGTTGTCTCTTGTTGATAAAAGAACTGTTGATGGATATTCTAACTTGAAATAAAACTTGAAAGAGGCTTTTTTATTTCATAATTCAGGTATCTTGTTATTGTATTTGAACAAGTGCCAATAAGGATCAATTTACATCCAAGAACCATCACTTCAACTAACCTACAATTGACCTGACTTCAACCTAACTCGACCTGATTTCAACCTAACTAAGACCTGATTTCAACCTCACTGGACCCGATTTCAACATGTTATCAACGTCAATACAACGTTGAAACTGCAACGTTGATTCAACGTCAGAATTTCAACGTCATTACAACTTTCAAAACTAACCCAAGTTTCAACGTTGTAACAACGTTGAAGACTGACATTGGATCAACGTTGATACAACGTTTTGTGCCTGCTGGGTTGTTTTTCTTTAATTGTTTAACATTTCTTACCGATATAACATGTTACTTTTATTATTCTTCCCTTAGTTTATTTATTTTGTATTCAAAATTATTTATTTTGTTAAAATATTTCCTTTCTCTATTGGTACTGTACAGGTATACCTAACAACAAAATTATTTTCATTTACCTGTGTTTAAACTTATTGCAAATGGATGGTATTTTTGTTCGAGCATATTGTTTTTCTTTAATTGTTTATCATTTCTTACCGATATAACATGTTACTTTTATTATTCTTCCCTTAGTTTATTTATTTTGTATTTACATTGTGTCATAGGTCAAATTTATTTGTTCAGTGTATGTTCAATGGTGTTTATATGTCCTTTGATTGAGTTAAGCTATTTCAGTTGATATTTTATAGTGTGTCACTCTATGTTGTGATGTTACACTATTGTTTCAGAAAAAGGGTGAAGGTTTGGTACCATTAAAACGTTTAAACCCGCTGCATTTGTTTGCACCTGTCCTAAGTCAGGTATCTGATGTTCAGTAGTTGTCGTTTGTTGATGTGGTTCATAAGTGTTTCTCGTTTCTCGTTTTTTATATAGATTAGACCGTTGGTTTTCCCGTTTGAATGGTTTTACACTAGTAATTTTTGGGGGCCCTTTATAGCTTACTGTTCGGTGTGAGCCAAGGATCCGTGTTGAAGACCGTACTGTGACCTATAATGGTTTACTTTTATAAATTTTGACTTGGATGGAGAGTTGTCTCATTGGCACTCATACCACATCTTCTTATATCTATTTGTGCCCAATTTATTTGAAATATCAACGTAAGATCTCTTCTGTATAGTCTTCATTCAAAACAAAATATATATAAAAAAGACAAGTATATTTGAAGAGCAATCTTATAGGCACAACTATATTAAATAAAGGCAACAGTAGTATACCGCTGTTCGAAACTCATAAATCGATAAAGATAAAAACAAATCCGGGTTACAAACTAAAACTGAGGGAAACGCATCAAATATAAGAGGAGAACAACGACACAACAAAAACACAACATTAAAATGTAACACACACAGAAACGAACTATAATACAACAATGGCCATTTTCCTGACTTGGTACAGGACATTTTAAGAAAAAAATGGTGGGTTGAATCTGGTTTTGTGGCATGCCAAACCTCCCGCTTTTATGACAACGTCAAACACAACACCAAAACAACAACATCACATGACAGGACCACAATACAAATAAATGGGAGAACATATAGGACAAAGAAACACACGAATAATAGCTAACAAAAGGTACTAGGCTTAAAATTCAATACGCCAGACGTGCGTCCCGTCCACACAAGACCAACCAGTGACGCTCAGATGAAAAAAATTTAAAAGCCAAAACAAGTACATGTATAGCCTTTTCATGTTCAAAGCCAGAGCTAGTTCTAAATCTATAAAAACTGGCTTAAGACCGGCAGATTATATCAAAACTTATGTTCAAAAACTTCTTATTATATTTGAATCTAAAACCTAAATTAAGTTTTTTAACAGGAGTTATCATGAGTAATGGACAAGAATGGGTGGATCTTCTAAGATTCACTATGGTCGCCCTCAAAGACTTTGGAGTTGGTAACAAATCTTTAGAAGAGAAAGTACAGGAAGAAGCACGATTTCTAGTAGAACTGTTTTCAAAGGAAAATGAAAAACCTTTTGATGTCAGCAAAGTCTTTTCAAAGGCAACGTCGAATATAATATCAAGTATAATTTTTGGATCAAGGTACGTATAAATAGAATGTCTTTCGGTTCTCTGCTTGCAGCTACAGTTATTGAAAGTCCGAATTGTTTTTCCGATTAATCATTTAATGACTATAAAAAAAAACTAGATCTCGCTTGAGTGTCAAAATCCGCTTAATGCAAAAAAAAAAAAAAAAACAAACGAAAAACCAAACAAAATATTTTCCTTACCGGTAGTGCAAGTATTTAATATAAAAATTTGCTCATAAACAGAAGGCAGAATTGTCTTTGCAAACCACAGTGAAACATGATACCTTATTTTATACACACAAAGCGTATTGCTGCAGTAACTTACAACAATGCCTGACAAGTAAGCATGCAGAGACAAAGTTTTAAAATGTCGAAGATGTATGACTATAAAAGGTAACCAGGAACTGTTCACCTTTTCGTAGTACAGAAGATGAAAACGGTGCTTGAACGTTTGTTTATGAGGAAGGTAGAGTCTTAAAGCAATACAATTTGCATAATGACCTCTCCTTTAGCTCACCTGACCCAAAGGGCATGTGTGAGCTGTTGCTTTCGCTTGCGTGCATCGTCTGTCGTCGCCTGGTATTTTTTACAGAAATCTTCTCTAAAATTACAAGGCCAGTTGCAACCAAATGTGGATTCAATCATCGTTAAAATACTTATCTTAAACATTATGAATCCGATGAACCCGCCGACTTTACAACATAGCCGCTATGGTTAAAAATAGAAAATAATGATAAATTGCAAGCTTGAAAACCGTTATATATTGAAAATATACAGCCGAGAAACTTTGATTATCAAAATCGATCGGCAAGACAATACATGTATCTACAAAAACGTCAAGTTTTCCTAATTTATAACAAGGCGATACATAAGGAGTAATAGTAGTGTCCATACATGACGATTTAAACCACTTATTTGCGTTACTACTATTATTATGTATAAGTAATATATAGAGGAGTTTTCAAGCTAAAAAGATAACTTTGATCATTCCTACAATTAAATCAATATTTCCGAAATCGTAAGATGACTTCTTTTTACGAGATGTTGCCCTTAAAAGACGATGGTTATCCATTTATAGGGCTTTAAGATATTTGGCTATCTTCTAAGTGTTTATACACAGAGATAACTTGTACAATTTACATTCTTTAGATTCACACTTTAAGTATTATAATGACGGTGCATACATGTTATTAAATGAAGCACCAAAATTAATAAAGATGTAGATACAAACAGTTATAGGGCGAGGAACTTCCGTAAATAACTGACAGAGTTCAAAATGTAGAACGTCCTAGAAAATATGTTGAATACATATAACATGTATCACACATCAACAAGAGTCAATGTATGTTCGAAATGTGTGACGACATTAAATGTATATACACACAAATGTACAGACAAATCTCAAATAACCAGCTAGACAATCCCTCATTTTAGTCATTATGGTAGAAATCGTCTAACGAATCTTAAAAAGGAATTAGTGCCTTTATTGTCGGCCTTTAACATTTTTAGTGCTCTAATCTTTTATCCTTAAAACTATAATAATGGATAGAAACAAACAACAAGAAGCAAAAATGATCAAAATGACAAGTTGAAATTATAATAGGTAAAGAGAAATTGTAAACACCAAATATTATAAGCTAAATTTTATTGTTTTGGCAAACAAAAGTTCACGTAAAGAGGAATTAATTGCATCACCGTTTGGAATGATATCCGCTTTAACACATTTGTAATTTGCATCTTCCAAGGTGACAGCTGTAAGTTTTCCAGACAGTAAACTGTACAAGGAACTGCGTACACGTAAGTGAAGCTTTACTTTTATTTACCCGACTATAATTTGTACATATCACCGTTTCTAAAATGACCGACTTCCTTGATCGTATACAAAAGCAAATTATTCAATAAATATATATAATCATTTTTACCTTCTCGCTTCAGATTTGACTTTAACAATCCAGATTTTAACAGCCTACTAGGAAATATAGATTATCTTTTCAAAACCAATAGGACATCCGGAAACTTCTTCCCTTTGCCTGCTTTTCTTAATCCATTTGATAAGGTAAGACAATAGTATAACTTTTTAGGATACCTATATTATTGTCACTGACAGAATATTTCTTCACAACTTTAATTGATCAGATAAGTTGTGTATAGAAATAAATTATGTTAAAGATAATGCATATTTAAGGTTTTTCTTGTCGATGGTTCAAAATGAATTTCTTTGGGCAATCCCGACATCCCAAGGTGTGTTATATGACAAAAAAAAAAACCTTTCAAATGAGCCTCACCAGACTAATATACTGTCAAAAAACTAATATTTCTACAATAATTTGCAGGAAATTGTATCCCATTTTACCGATCTCATTTAAGTGGGATATTCTTTTCTTATGTGTTTAGGTAAATCAACGCCCAACATCTCAATAAAACTCGCTTATATAGATGTAAACGTTAGTAATCACTGTCCAGTTAAATAAAACTCACCTATAAAGATATAAACGTTAGTAATCACTGTCCAATTAAATTAAAGTAATATTGTAATTGCATGAAGACAGAACCAAAAAATTGCTTCAGTATATGAAAAATATAAGTCACTGGGTAAATAATTCATTATATTAACTTTAATAAAAGAGCTGCGCCATGAGCGATTGATGCGCCCGTCGCTTTTTCAACGAATGAAGTTCCATAACCCCTCAATAGATATAAACACGTCACCAAAGTTTTATGAAAATATGTTAAAGCGTTTTTGAGTTATTGACCTACATTTTGACGATGGACGGACGAACAGACGGATAACGGTATACATAATACGTCCCGTAAACGGGCGTATAAAAAGGGGGTGCTATGTTCTTTTCCTGTTTTCTTTTTGGCCTTTTTAACTTTTTGATTCGGGCGTCACTGATCAGTGAAACGCGCGTCTGGCGTACACAATTTTAATCCTGGTATCTAAGATGAGTTTATTTATGACATTGTTACCGCGAAAAAGCAAATAATTTTTCCAACGATTAAAAAGTAGCTAATTCAGAATAACTGTTTTCTCTCTTTTACCTTTTTCTTAAAAAAAATGTGAATTAGAATAGAATAATATATGACTATATCACATAATTTCACTTTATTGAATCGATTAATTAATAAAACTTCACATTATTTGTGGCAAAAGTTAAATCGTGATAAAGACGTTTTCCTATACTAGAATTTTAACTAATAAATGGTGGAAACTAGGATTGTGTTTGCCTAAAGCCTTTAAAGAATATTTCAGATGAAAAATTGCACAGAATACCCCCATAATTACCAACAGCGTACGAATACTATCAATGATATACATGATCTAAGAAACTGAAGTTTGCATTTTAATCGGGGTAAATCATGACCTTACAAAGCAAACACATTTCATTGAAACTTGGTATAGTCTTGGTTGTTTCTTCAAGAGAATGACCTATCGTTCTGAAAGGAAATAACTTCATTTAGGTATATAATTGGCTCTATGGACCTAGGTAGATTTTCATCTTATCCCAGAAAAACATATATAGCCACATACGTATATAAAAATGACGTATGATATGATCATAAAAATATTTAATCTTGTAGTATTACAAAGTTTGACATTTGACAGACAAATATGATTGTAAAGAATCGGAGAGCAATTCAAGATTATATTCGTTCCAGAATAGATGACGAGCGACGGTCGTTTGATCCAAACAATGTTCGACACTTCTTGGATCTTTACCTTCAACAGGAAGGCAAATCTAACAGCAAAATATCAGGTAAGTTTGTATTTGTTTCAACATATCACCAAATCCGTATGAACAGAGCATTGATTTATTTCTCCGTTACAAGTTATGCTATCATAATTTTTGCAGTCTTTATTATCAAGTCGTTGTAGATGTTAACAGTATTTATTTTGGCCTATGCAATTTGTGGATGGCCACATTCACCACAAGCATATGATATCCCGTCCTTTGGTAAAGTTCAAATATCCATTTTCAGAATTTGTTTTGAACACAATTAGCGTTCTTTGCTTTGTCATATACCATATACTTTTGCATAAATTTATGAACTTAGCGCATGCATGTACTAAACTAAACACTAAAACAGATATGATGATGACTCAAGTTTCAAGTTTTTCAATCTTAAACTAACTATTTCAAAATTTCGACTGACGGCACGTCATTCATCTTCACGAATGCACATAGTATCCAATCCTGAAAGTGGAAAAATGCAGCAATTACCGGGCATGATCGATAACCCCGGATTACAATGCTATGCGTGAATGTAAACAGTAATTGTCTTTTGATATGGTAAAGAGTCATTTCAACCGATCCAAGTTGACCATTTACCATATGAGAGAACACGTATTTTTGCATTGATATTAATTTTTTTAACAATGGAAGTAACCCAAAGCTTCGGCGCCTGCGTTTGAGTCTTGAAAACACACGGATCAAAAATAGAAATATCTGTTTCCGATAGCAAACCAAGACTTCGCCGCCGGCGTTCGAGACTTTAGAACATGTAGAACGAAAATAAAAAGTAAAGATGAATTAGATTGTAGCTACCTAGCTTTCAACTCTCTCAGTCAAAATTGACCTTAGAAGATTCTGTTTATGTCCCTTTTGATCATATAACTCCTCAAGTACTCAGGTTTGTATACATACATCCATGGCGTTCAAATTTTTGGGTTTGAGCGATTCTAATGAAAGTAAGTCCTAAAAATAGTGCATATGAATGCATCAAAATCATAAAGGTTTGTGGGTGATTTAACAGCTTAGTTATCATTGATTTGGTACTTACACGATTCATAACATTCTTTTAATAAATTCCCTGATGATCAATTTAGAAATTATTAAGAAACTAAGGTTCCAACTCCCTTATGCGAGGTTGACCTTAGGTTCCTCAAAGCGTCTTTGTGCATCTATATCTGCAACGACTGTAAACAAGAAGATGTTTGTAAAAATTTCATTTAGAAATACAAGTATTTCTATTGAACTACTAATAGTGTAGTATAGGAGCTCTTAGATTACAGCCTTGTCTTACTACAGTGTTAACAATGTAACGTTTACCTCTTCTTTTGAAGTTACTATAAATGTATTGTATGTATCGGATCATGAAGCCTTATTGGTGTAGCCTCTTGATCTATCTTTTACAATTTACATTATCAAAAATTGATTGAATGTTTTACCAGCTCACCGCCATTTAAATTATAGTTTTCTTCAGTTTCCTAAAACATTGCTTTATTTGTTATCAGTTTTTAATCAGTAGAAATATTATACTATTAAAACGACACCTTTTTGGTTTCAGAAAACCATCTGCTCCTGACTTTAGCCGATCTGTACATAGCTGGCACCGATACAGCATCTGTTACATTACAGTGGAGTATGCTTTACATGATAAAATACCCTGATGTACAGAAAAAATGCAGAGATGAAATTTTGGAGGTATTGTATCTTTAAACTTTGACACAATATACAAAAGACTATAATTCGAAGATGGTAATAAATCAGGAGAAAAGCATACACATTTCTTTTTTAATGAATTTCATATGTGATCACTAACTTCACTCTCAGACAAGCTGACAGCGAAGCATAAATACACTGTAATCGTATGAACTGAGGAAGTATGACGAGCACCATGGTTTTGCAAACTGCATGCTAAAGAATAAAAGTAAAAGTCTTTAATTCATTCAACTATTTCAATTAAATTGCTTAAAAATTAGGAGGATACAACAATGTCTTTGTCAAAAAATATCACAATTGGTCCAATTTTCCACGAAATTTCAATTTTTCGAAAAGAGATTCGTGAAATTAGATATAAGCAAGCATCTAAGCGTTGGACTGTTATTTATTAAATTGATCAATTCTTTTTACTCTTGAATTTCTAGGGTTTCAAAAAGTGTCCGTACCAGTTCTTCTAATTTGTAGAGACGAGGGTTGTAATTAGTTGAAAGTAATTTGTAAAAGCCTAAACAAAACTAAAATGCGATCTGCTAGTATTCATTTCTTAATTCTATTTTTATTAACTTACAATGTATCAAAGTATACATTAATTTGCCTACATGATATTAAAAGTTTCTTCGCCTTGATTAAAGTCATAACTAAGTCTACTACTACTCACTGCTTATTTTTATATGTATATCAATTCAATTTCACCTATTTTGTCTTATCATCAAATTTCAACATGTGCAACGCGACAGGTATCAGTTGTGAAACATGTATTAACCATATTTTTGTTGTATTACTCTGACCGAATTTATTGACAACTGTTTGTCTTTTCGGTTTGCCTTTATTATCATGATTTGTGTGTCCATCAATTTATACATTTCTGGTTAAATGTAGATGTGTATGTATGTTCCTATTTTATCGATAGCTTAAATTGAGATTGACAATGAAGTTTGCCTCCATGACATTCTTTTTAAAGTTATAATTTTTTTTTCTCTAACTTCAGGTAATTGGTGGAGATAGAAACCCAGTGGTCAAAGATAAAGATTACTTACATTATGTAATGGCCACATTACACGAAGTACAGAGAATAGCAACTATAGGTATGTAATACTCAACTCTATTGTCGAAAATTGAAATGGAACGTAAACGAATCTTTTTTCCAGGTTTTTGTTTTGTCGTTGTAACTCTTCTAAAATCTTGTTTAATATCTGCCCATCTTGGTAAATAAACAATCAAAAAGAGCATTTTTTCTTGCTTTTAACTCATGGTATTCCTAGAAGTATGAAGGAGGTAAGATAATAAGGCATACACGCAGAAGCAGTTAATCTCGAAGATTTTGAGATCGGCACAACATAAATATTAAAATGCATTTATATGGAGTCAATTCATTCCATGTTTTTGATAGCTGATGTGGAACTTTTAAAAACATTGAATTCGTCTTTTACGTATTAATTTTCTTCTGATTAAAATAAAATTAAGAAAATAGAAAAGAATGTTTGTATTTCACCTTGAAATATGCATTGGTATAAATAAGGTTTAAAAGCAACAAACATATTTAACAAAATACACAAATAAACATTAATTTCTTTTGATGTCGTAGGGTTGCTGTCTCATTTGCGAATATTCCACATCTTTATCATATTTAGTATAAGAAACATTCCTTCAATATTCCACCACCCATTGCTGTACCACACCTTGCAGCTGAAGACATTGAAATCGATGGGATGACAATTCCAAAAAATGCTGTAATATATCCTAGCTTGATGTCAGTACATCGTGATCCATCATTATGGGAGGAACCGGACGTATTCCGACCAGAATTTTTTTTTTAATGACAAATTTGTCAAAAAAGAAGGATTTTCAGCCTTTTCAATGGGTAAGTTCGTCTACTCTATTTATTATGTTCTACATAAAATCTATATGAGTATTTTAACATACAACCGAAAGACCAAATTTAATTTCAAATAATGAAACTTATTTGTTTTGTTTTCGATGCTCTTCATAATTGATTCTGCCTTCTAATCGTTTTGATTTGAATGGCATTGAAGAGTCTGATGTATCATTTTGTTTTGATTTGAATGGCATTGAAGAGTCTGATGTATAATTTTGTTTTGATTTGAATGGCATTGAAGAGTCTGATGTATAATTTTGTTTTGATTTGAATGGCATTGAAGAGTCTGATGTATAATTTTGTTTTGATTTGAATGGCATTGAAAAGTCTGATGTATAATTTTGTTTTGATTTGAATGGCATTGAAGATTCTGATGTATCATTTTGTTTTGATTTGAATGGCATTGAAGAGTCTGATGTATCATTTTGTTTTGATTTGAATGGCATTGAAGAGTCTGATGTATCATTTTGTTTTGATTTAAAAGGCATTGAAGAGTCTGATGTATCATTTTGTTTTGATTTGAATGGCATTGAAGAGTCTGATGTATCATTTTGTTTTGATTTGAATGGCATTGAAGAGTCTAATGTATCATTTTGTTTTGATTTGAATGGCATTGAAGAGTCTGATGTATCATTTTTTAAAGTTTAGAAAGAAAAAAAGCTGAACAAAGTTCAATGTCTTCCCTCATAAATTTACGAGGATATTGACTGAGATTGTATGTACTCGTAACAAATCTTTGGAATTCTTTAGTATCCACATCTGAATTTCACAGTAACTCTGATGCCAGGTTTTGATTGTTGCTGGTTAAGGTCAAGTTACAGTAAATGAGCTTTATCACAGATTTTGGTAAATTTTGCAATGTACATCTTTGGCTTGATGAACTATAACTGAAAATCGAAAAAAAAAATGCATATATCTCTTTTATTATTTGAAATATTACTGATTGAATTCTTTCAAAATAGGAGAATATTTGTACAGAAAGGTCATGAAATCGGCAAAATGTTTTTAAATTTGATCTAAAGACAAATTTAAGAACGTTTTTCGCTTATTTTATGTGCTTTCTATACAAATATTCTCCTATTTTGAAAGAATTCTATATTTAGCAATATTTCAGACACTAAAAGAGTTAATATATTATTTTTTAAGATTTTCAGTAATACTTCATTAAGAAAAATTTGTATGCAAAATTTTACCAAAATCTGTGACATAGCCCATTTACTGTTCCTTGACCTTAAATAAAATTGAGAATGGAAATGGGGAATATGCCAAAGAGACAACAACCCGACCAAAGAGCAGATAACAGCCGAAGGCCACCAATGGGTCTTAAATAGAATTTAATGGTTTAGAAAAAATGATCCTGAAATAATTATTTACTCATACGGATCAAAATAAGATTTAATTTATATTTTTTGTATTTCAGGTCCGAGAATTTGTTTAGGAAAGCAATAAGCTGAATCAGAACTTTTATTGTTATTCGTATCCATATTACAACGATTTGATCTGTCTAAAGCAGATGAAACGGATGAGTTACCAACAGTTGGTACAATGACTGGGATAACACAGCAGCCAAAGGACTTTCAAATGTGCTTTTTACCAAGACATTAAACTAAATATAGTGTGAGGTTGTGCTCTGTAAATTAAATAAAACGACTAAATTTATATTTTTTTTTTATTATAAATACACTTTCCAATTATTGTGTATTATTAATTATCAACGTTGATATCATACACAATGCAGAAGAGGGAATAGAACTGCGTGGACTCATTTGAACGGAATTTGAAAATAATAACGTAACAGTTTTATCAAAAACCACAAGAGAAAGGAATAGCTAACAAAACATTATTTAATTATTTAAACATTTAGGGTGTTCAAAATGGTAAAACTTCTATTACACGAATTATTAAGACAGTAATTATTCAATAGGGACTACTGCCAATATTTTATTGCCCGAGAAAAATGTTTTATTCATTTTTCACATATACGAAATTTCATCAAATTATTGTAGAATGTGATATTATTGTAAAGGTCACAAATTAGGCAAGGAAACCGAAGACAATTGATAACCTGGGTATCATTTTGCATTTTTAATAATGAAACAAATAATCTGATTCTCTGCATTATCACGTCGTTTAGACTCCCATCAATACTGAAACAAAACAGAGGGATAAAAACAAGTAAACAAGAAAAATGAGAGAGAAAACAACGAAATAAAAATTCATAAAAATTACACAATAAACAAATACACAAATAAGTAGATAAACATAAAAAAGAACAAAAGAACAAACAAACTTAATCATGAAAAATCAAATTTCAAATAGATAACAAATACGACACAATAAAATGAAATGTAAAATAAGTAAAAGAAATAAAGAAATAAGATTAATTTAATGTTTAATCAATTATCTAAACTCAACTCAATGTATTCACATAGTTTCCCTGTGTATTCATGTACATAATCTAGAATATAATAGTGCAACAGTTTCAATATTCCAAGTAATCTAGCGGCAAGATAAAATAAAATAAAACAAGTTTTACACTGTGAAATTTAATCGGATTTCAAAATTCTACACACTGCAGCAGTTACAATATACCTAGTTATACAACAATAAAGTACATGGAATACGACAGAAGCTATATTGCGTAAAATATAAATAGGAATAAATATAGTTCTTAACAATGGATTCCTCCAGAGCTATACAATATTCTATTTTGACATAGCAAACAGTTAAAATATCTAATATCGTAAATTCCGTAAAACAACTAACTAAACAAGAGAAAAAATATATTTTCTTGAAAAATTAAGCAGCAAATCATTTGCTTCATATCAAGTTTGAAATGAAAAAGAGGATGAATGGAAAAAGAAAACCACATTCAAACAATTATGAAAAACATCACATTTTCTCGGTTATTCACATTTTTTAAAGTGAATTTTGAAACAAAAAAAGTTCGCGAAGATTCATTTTTGAAACTGAATGAATCTCATTTTTGTTGCATACATTTTAAAATAAAAATCATAAACCATAGATAAGAATATTGGTCGATTGATGCTTGCTAAACGCCCAGTGGTAAATATTACATTCGTATTCAGGACGAAAACATATTAATAATTGATAAGACAGGTAGGTAGGTCGACTGGACGAAGGGTGCGAAATAGGAACTGCCTCTGGAAAATAAGTATATTTTGGAGAGGGAAAAAATGCCTAGAAACAGGACACCTACTTGTTCAAGGGTTTACAGTGTGGCTCTAGCCAAAAACGGACATCGGATCTAACGTTCCAATTCTGATAGGACGTGGCTGCATATTTATACATCATGCACACCCAAACGCACCCCACATTAATGCAAGGGTTTTTCTACCGGACTATGGACGTCCATGCATACCCATATTTTTATGATCCAGTACATCCTTTGAGTAAGTAAGTATATAATGAAAAATTTATAAAACATGTTATTCATTACATCTTGAACTGTAAAACCAGTTCAAATTATTAACCAAAAAGCTGGTTCTTCTTTATCATGGAACGTAATATACAAAAGAAAGAGAATCAACCTCTCAATGACCCGTATTCCTCATCTAAAAAAAATGTAATGTGAGCTACTATTCACTTTTTTTTACCTCCCGTTTTGAGTTCAAGTAAAAGGAAACAATACCCAAACAATGCAGAAGCAGACAACAAAAGGTAGATGACCACATGACTTAACTAGCCGATAGATAACTAAATACCAAATACCGTGGATTCATTATTATTGTTGGGGTACCAATTTCCGTTGATTTCGTGTGTACAAGTAGACCATGAATTTAAATATTCAACGAAGTACAAATTTTATAGGCATGTATGCAGACTTTGGCAAAACCGAGATATCAAATATCCATGAATATACCTTTCTTACTCAAGCAAGGAAATTGGTACACAAGAAAATATATGAATAATCCACAGTATGAGAAGCTAGTTGCTAAGATAAATGCATCATTTGTTTTATTTATGCAAAATGATAATAACATCTTTTTGCTTTGTTCGAAGTCCTTTCCTGGATTTACCCTCACTAGGAACGTTCAAACTCCAAAATTTGAAAACCAAGGATGTTAAAGTAATCAAATACTTCAAGAGCTATATGACCAAAAGGAATATAAAAAATACAATCAAAACCATCTTGGGCTGAACTGAAAACTGAAAATAAAGTTATTAAATTATCATAACAGTACCGAACGTTAACTACAGAGCTGATGTTCTCTCGAGGGCTAAAAGTTAACCGGCAAGGGTATCAACCAAGGTGTAAGACAATAAAGAATATAAATGTACTTCGTCCGACGCACTTTTGGGGATTTACCTTCAACAGACGATAAATTAAAATGAAATGAAAGCCAGGCCTACGGTCCACCAAAAAATCTAAAATTGATCGTAGGTGTGCGAGAGAGTATCCAGCAATTAGGCAGTTTTAGCAAATTGATCGTTTGTATTTTTAGTTTCGTTATCTTATTTCAGTACAAATTAATGGAAAGCCTTTTCGACATCGGCCGGAATCTCTCACATAAGCTTGTCGAGAAGTTTGGTAAGGGTCGAGCAATGATAACAAGATGTCACCCCGCAGTTTAACTAAAATAAACAAGGATAGAGTTATATTTCCTATGAACAAAACGTGTGTATTACAAAACATCACAAGTACTAAACTGTAGAATATTGCATTTTTACTATAACGTAGGCAGATTCACCATCTTGGAATTTGTGGATAAATTGGTAAGTAATCTTCAAGAAATTATGCAGTTATACTCACTTTACCGATAAAATATTGTTTAAACACAGATTTTGAAAAAATATTTTGCTTTTTTATGTCAATTAAAGAACACGATTAGAAGTTAAACCATATTCTGAATATAAATATATCATTTAGTCATAAACTTTTCACTTAAAAAAGAAATAATCTAATACAAATAACAGTGATTCTTGTACTATTTCCTTTCACAGGTAAGACTCATGAGTATTTGGTTTTCTAAGTTTTATCTAGGATTGATCACGTTTTAACGTGTGTTCAAAATGTGTAAAAAGGTTTGTTACATGTTGGAACAACATATGCAAGCGGGATGGAAGGCAGCCTTTGTATAGGTAACGTATAAGGTAGCATATTGGAAAAAAGTGGACAATAAAACCCAGAAAGACAATTTAAACTCGACTTTCATTTGTTTTGTTTGAAATAAAATGTTGCTAACTTTACTTACTAAATAGTTTGAAAACATACTGTGTTTACATAATATTTGTGAATTAGTTGAATTTTTAATTGTTTCAGTCCAAAAACATAGGTATATGGAAATGATAAACTCCAAAATCAACTTTTCAACAAAAAAAAAACTTGAAATCACAATTAAATCAATAATATATTCTTTTGGCAATTCATAACCGGGTTTGACCATTGTTTAATATCTCCGCTTCTTTCTAGATTCATGACATCAAGTCTTAGTAATTTCTAAAAAAGCAAAAAGTTTGGATTTATTGACAACAGATGAATAACATGTACAAAAAACGTAATGATTCAAATTTCCAAAATTAACATGCTAATGTACATAAAGTGTTCATATATTTATGGTTACTTGATATTCAGGAGCTTATGCCGAATAAAATGGATTCTATTACTTAACATTAAGGCAAAGTTAAAATCAGATTATGTTGACGACACCGTTAGACGGAATTATTTTGTCTCCATTAAATGGCATCGGCTCTAATTGTATAAAGGAATACATTCATTATTATAGATTATCAACAAATGTGTTTTCTTAATTCATTTATGAAAAAGAAAATACAACAAATATAAAAAAAAACCCATTGTTAACAACATTTAGATAAGTAGGTTAAGTACAAAAACAGGGTTTATGTTAAAATCACATTAACAAGTTCTCGTCCTAATATTCAAGTTATATTTGCTACTATACGTTAAACCCCAATTCATACATATATCCATCCAAATACTTTGGAGATAAATCAAATTAACACATTGAATTGACTGTGTCTTGTCCTCAATTCGTATAATAGTGTACGGTTCAATTTATGAAAGTCGTGATCATACGCTGCATTATACTATGTGTTATATTGATATAACTGCACCTATGTAGTTTGTTACGACTAATATTTTTAATAATACTATTTTTTAATGCATATTTAAATTTAATCAAAAATAAGATTTAGACCACTGGTAATACGAGGGTACTAGCAGCAATGCAATACAAGCGTGTAATCTATAATCATGCAAATGCCACGACATATGCAGGAAATGGAAAATGCATGGAAAGTCCAGTTAATCTTAGAATATAACAAAGATAAAGGGGCGTTTGTGAGAAAAAAACAATGTACATGTATGTATAACAAAAATGGATTTGATGGTTTCAAAAATTCTGACGATTTAATGTTAGAAAATTTGAAACTCCCTTGTTAGTCTAAGGCACGAAAATTGAAACTCCATTCCAACATAACCGATAATATGTTTGTTAGCCTCTATAGCCACGAATGTGACTTACCGAATTAGACTATTTACCGGATTTGTAATAACATGAGCAACACGACGGGTGCCACATGTGGAGCAGGATCTGCCTACCCTTCCGGAGCACCTGAGATCA